TGTACAACAGCGTGTTCTAGTTCCTGCCAATATCCAGCAACTTCACAGCCATTAAAGAGGAGTGAACCAACATTTCCACAATTTACAACCTGATCGACTCTGTGAAGGAAATGTGCACTGCAAGAGGCAAACGATGCTCACACCAGATACTGACTGTTATTCTGATGGGAAGGTGTCTAAATATTATTCATACACAAAAGCACCGACACAGTCAATGCAGTCTTCCATAAGAGGCAAACAGTAACTGTCTGATTTTGTAATGATGTTATTACAACAAAAATTAGTACAAAAATTAAATCTGCCATCATAGGAATGTCCCGATCTGCAATTGATATTGAAAGTAGGTTCGATATCAGTCCAAAAAAAAAAACTATATCGGACTGCGTTAAAAATCCGATGTGCTCCAAACTCTGTTACAGCTATTCTGTCCAGCAGCGTCCAGAGCCAGCGTGCAAAGCCCACGTGATCACTACACTGTTTGCTAGCAAAGTCTCTTTAAGATTAAACATGCTCTTCACACTAAGTTATGGTGTATTACGATAGAAATCTATTATGACTGTAACACACGCTGACGCTATCAACAACAGCACATGTCTACTGGTTTATTTACTTCACGTCCAGAGATCTTTACATGGTTTTGTATACGCTGCTAAGCAACGCAAGGCACCGAATGGCGGTGTATCGTGCAACCCTCATAGAAAACGTTTAAAATTCGGTCATGGCAAATCGTGGTGCATCCAGTGTGATACTCAATTCAACACCTGCGCTTCCCACACATTACCTCAGCGGTCCGGTTCTGTGTGCGTGAGAAACTGAGGATACTCCGCCACAGACTCGCATGCTCTGCTGCTGCAGACCCACAGAGACGCGCTGGACACCTGTTCTGACTTTGGTAGTAGCCTTGAGTAGAGCACGAGGACATGCGGAGAAGAAAAGCCTTTTACTATATAGACTGATTCAGCTCATTATTTAGGGTGACAATACATTCTCTTTTTCCCGGACATGTCCTCTCTTTGGGTCTTAAAAATGCATTCAGCCAGGATTTCTAAATCGCCTAACAAGTACCGGATTCTGCTTTCGCTTTCTATAACTGCGCTTTTGCATTACTCTATACGCAAACTTAGGCCGGTGCATCTCAATCTCTCAGCAGCACCAAGACTGGAGAGAGAGAGAGACGGTCAGTAGTGCACATGGATAGTAGGAGTGAAATATTATTTAATTTTTTACTTGAACACACTGAAAAGAAACGGTGTCATGTAAAAGGTGTTAAATGCTAAACATCTTTGTTGTTTTAATTGTCTGTTAATTAAGAATAAGAAATCATTCTGTTGCTGAGGGCCATTACAGTTTAAAAGAGAGAATGACATTACTTTTTGGGTAGAAGGAAATTTTATTAGAGGCATTCCCATGTTTAACTCTTTTTTTTAAAAAGCCCAGACAGAGAAAGTGCTCTGATAAACGGTGTCAGCTTTGCACATAATCTTCTTATGATACAAACACCGATTAAATAGATCTGATCATGTAAATGTTTGTACTAACCATACTGCACATTTTTATTAACAATAACTTATAACAATAACTCCCTATTTCTGCTCCCCTGTGTCAGATATTTTTCAGCTTGAAACTGGATTACAAATTCATCCAGAACCTGTGTGTGAAATTGAAACTTTAGACACTGAACCTTAAGCAGTTGGTCAGTTCACAATATTTTTGCTCTGCTGCTCTCAGCTGTTTCTACTATTTGCTGATGGTAAAAAATAAATAACTGAAGTGATCTTTAATTAGTATTTTGCACTTTAAAAATGTATTTTTGTTTATTCAATTAAGATATTTTTCAGGGTCTTAATATTTATTCTTGAATTATTTTTTATATATTTTTATGTAAAAGGTTACATTTATGCTACCAACAGTTAATAAACTGGTTGCTTTTTTTCATACTTACTGTTGCTGACTTTTGTTCTCAGTTTGATCCGGCCTTTCATACATTCCACTCAACAAAATAGGTAAAAGTACAGTATTCATGATTTGTGCTGATTATTATATCGGGTTTGTATCGGTGTCAGTTAGTACTGAAGGCTGCAATATCGGTGTCATATCGGAAGTTAAAACGTTGTATCGGGACATCCCTAGCAGTCAGATCTGTTTACGAGCAAACAAGGTGAGCTGTAATGTAGTTTAGCAACATTATTATTGTGTATAAATAACATCAGTTTTGCAATTGAGGTCGCTTCTAGGGCCTCACCCTATATGCATGTTGTTTATAGGCAATGAATAACACTGATATCATGTTCTGTTAGTGAAGGATAAGAAAGAACATTAGGAAACAGATTAACAGGCAGTGACATCCATTATATCAGAGCGTTCTGTAACTGCAAATAAGAAAGAATCCGCTTGTTAAGTGGTGACGTGTTTGTGACGTATGTAATACTGTTTCCGGGTCCAAGCCGCCATTCACTTGAGTGGAGAAATCATTCGTTTATGATCACGTTAAATTCCTATCACACATTAAAGTAAATTTTACATAAAGTCATAGTGTACACAACAATCTCTGGGCTTGCTGCATAACAAATACCAACATTTTAACAATTTTTAAAACAATGAATCACTTTCTGGCCATCGGATATTAGGCATGGACATATATACTGCAATCGTGACTTTCGAAAGTATTAAATCGCTTTGTAATTGTTTATTATTACCATTTCATGAATCTCCCCATTCAGTTGAAAAGAGCGCTTGGACCCGGTAGCGCTTTGCATGACGTCACACTTAATAAGAGGATTGCATAAAGATCTTTAATCAGCTCAGAATTTTTCAACCTTACTGCCGTCAACTCTGCAGATTGAAAAAAATCAAAATCGTCCTCAAGGGTAGTCAAGGCAACTATGCTATCAGAAGCAACAGAGGATATAATCACATTAAAGGTTCAGCACTGGACAGCACCCAATCAGCATATGGATCAGCACTGGACAGTGTCTGCTTTTTGATCACCAGATAATCTCAGAGTGAAACATTTAGCACAGCCGACTTCTGTCTAATTTAACTTAATAATTTTAAATGTAAGGAGCACAGATGAAGCCTTTGAAGTTTATGAAGTTGTGGTGTGAACAAGAAAGTGTCTAAGATCCCTTCATTGCTGAAAGGACGGAGTGCTTTTTTGAGTTCATTATGTTGTGAACACCAAACGTATTGAGAGGGTGCTCGCTGCAGAGCCATTTGTGGAGAGGTGAGCTCCAGAGAGGGGGAGCATGAGCTGTCGCTCCTCCTCCTGTAAGCTGTTTTAATGCGTACACCAACCCCACCCCTAACCCTACCCCCAGTGACATCACTCGTAGAAGAAGTGCAAAAAAGGTGGAGCTCAAGCTTAAGCTCCCCCTCTCTGGAGCTCACCTCTCCTCAAATGGCTCTGCAGCGAGTACCACTTGAACGTATTGAGGTCACGATTAAGGTTAAGATTTCATTTCTGGGTTTACATTTTAGGTCGGTTCGGTTCTTTTAAAATGCTTTGAAATTTTGACTTTTTTTATTATTATTATTTAGCTTTATATATGACACACTGTCAGCATCAAAAATTATTCGGAAACTCAGGAAGATTCATTTTCTGAGATTTTAATGTTCTTGCAGCAAAGGGAACAATACAGAAGAAACACAAGAGGTTCCATTCATGTTGCTCAAAGGGCAGTTCTTCGAGGCCAGTTTATATACAAACATGATGCAGCATTGTCTTTAATCATTGGTCTAAACAGTTTGCTTGATAGAATCCTATTGATCATATAATCAAATCATTGTCAGCACAATATTCCTGCAACTGGAACATTCCAACTGACTGAAAACTACAGTTGAGTGTTTTACTTTGACATTGGGTTTCTTTAAAAGTATATATACATAAAATAATAAAATATATAGAAATAAATAAGATTAATTTATCACACACACACACACACACACACACACACACACACACACACACACACACACACATACACACACACACACACACACACACACACACTAAAGCAGTTTTTAGATTATAGATGATGTTTAAAAAAATATGAGATAAAACATGATACTTATTTCAGTGCTAAAACTATTGATAAATGTAAAACACAATACATTGCTGTTGCTATTTGGTGCAGAATCATACAATCATCACACAGAATCATAACTTCTCTAACGTTACATTTTAGGATTAAAATATCACAAATATAAAACCTACACAAGCAGAACTAATATTGTCAGCATGCTAAATTAGGTAAATCAGATAATGCAATCAGAATTTAACAAAAAATAGCATAATAATAATAATGATAATTATAATGATAATAAAGATAAAAATGTATTTTATTTTACACAGTGCCCTTCTGCAGACTCGAGGTTGCTTTACCAAAAATAAAAGTGAAAGCAAAAAGTTAAAAAAAAAAAAACACTGTACAGGTGAACATAAAATACATATTCATACATTCATAATCACATCATAAAATGGTGTTTGTTGGCAGTGGAGAGTTGTGTTGAGAACTGATGTAAAGCCGTGCTGAGAAGTGTGTGAAAAGGAGACTCAAAACACTCATTTACATTTACATTTAGTCCTTTAGCAGACGCTTTTATCCAAAGCGACTTACAAATGAGGACAATGAAGCAATTTACACGACTATAAGAGCAACAATGAAAAAGTGCTGTAGGCAAGTTTCAGGTGTGTAAAGTCTAAGAAGCAAAACATTATTACTTTTTTGTTTTGTTTTTTTGTAGTTAGTGGAGGAGCCAGAAAGGGAATTGCAGATTAGTAAGAAAAGTGGAGACTAAATAGTTGAGTTTTTAGTCGTTTCTTGAAGACAGCAAGTGACTCTGCCGTTCTGATGCAGTTAGGGAGTTCATTCCACCAACTGGAAAATGTTTTAAAAAGTATGCGAGGATTAGTTGCATTGTAAATTTTTTTTTTTTTTGAGTTAAATATGTCTGCTTTGCAGAAGTAGTATCAGCGAGAAAGAGGACAAGAGTTTGGTATGTTATGAGCTGTGCAGGATTTTTAGTTTTTCGCCATATTCTCCCTGCAGCCTGAAGTTTTGAGCGATGCTCATGGAGAACATCAGAGAGTCGGGGTGCAGGTGGACTGGCACGGGCTGGCCTGGATGTAAGAGGACATAGTCTGTCTAGATATGATGCTAGTGTGGAGCAGAGTGTATCAGTGGCACTGTAGCTTGAGGTCTTTCAATGTGAATGTTGAAGTCACCTAGCACCAACAGGGGAGTGTCAGAAAAAGATGAGAGAAGAACATCCAGTTCATATAAGAAGTGACCTAATGTACCAGGTGGGCGGTAGATGACAACCACATTTATGTAGAAGGGGTGGATAATGGAGACTGCATGGAATTCAAAGGAGCTGATCTTTGTCAGGGACCGTCTCCGAGTAAATTTCCATGCTCTGGAAATCAGTAGCCCAGTCCCATCCCCTCTCCCTGTCTGACCAGGAGTGTGGGAAAAAGAGAAATTAGCAGAAAGAGCTGCATGTGTAGCAGTGTCCTCCGGCCTCAACCAGGTCTCAGTTAGAGCCATGAGGTTATAGTCAGAATGTGTAGCTGTGGAGGTAATAAAATCTGCCTTGTTCACAGCAGACTGACAATTCCAGAGGCCCACGGAGAGAGAGAGAATTGTGAAATAGCAGATTCTTGTATTGAATAAAGGTTGTGAGGATTACGCCTGTAGCGTAGCTCCCGTGCGTTGCGCGTGTTAGTAACAACAGGAATTAGTAAACACATAATAAAAGTTTTAGCTGTGGGATTAATATCAGATTGACATCTCTTTCTCTGTTAATTTTGGCTTTACTCTTCAACAGATGGAGCTGTGAAATACACTCAACACATTTATATTCATCATGTAAGACGCATGGTGGCTCAGTGAAGAGTGAGAAGGTCCCTGGTTTGAGTCCTGTTTGAGTCAGAAGGTGTTTCTGTGTGTTGTTTTCATGTCCTCCATGTGTTGATGTGGGTTTCTCAATCTGATCACACACAGTGTAGCTGAGCTGGAGAAACTGAGCCGTTTGTTTGAGTGAGAGTGTGAATGTGTGTCTGAAGTCTTGTGATGATCTGGTCTTGTCCAGAGTGTTTCTCAGACTCCACGTGCCGTTTGGAGAATGCAGGAATTATCAGATTGATGTTGCTTCCTCTGTTACGGCAAACTGACTTTGGTCTTTAGTAGATGATGGAGCTGTGAAACACACACACACACACACACACACACACACACACACACACACACACACACACACACACACACACACGCACGTTTATCTAAATATTCAGTTCAGTTCACAGTTATATTTTCTCTGCATTATTGCTGATTATGAGCTCCATCTGTTTATATTGATATTGATCTGTGTAATGTAAAAGGAGCAGACAGTATTTGTACCTCTCGCTCTGATGTATTTGTAGACCAGTACAGCTGTTGCTTGCAGATACACACAAACTGCCAGAAGAAAACTGATAATTTTGTAGACAGAAATCTGAGCTGAAGTTGACCCTGAAACTGAGAAACACAAATTATTAAGCAAAACACTGTAAGGCAGGGCTGTCCAAACTCAGTCTTGGGGGGCCGGTGTCCTGGAGAATTTAGCTCCAACTCTAATCAAACACAGCTGGACCAGCTAATCAAACTCTTACTGGGTATATTAGAAACTTCCTGACAGGTGTGTTGAAGCAGGTTGGAGCTAAACTCCAAGTTTAGACTGAGTTTGGACACCCCTGTAAGGCAGTAAGTTGTTGCTGTAAGTTAAATATGTGAGATGATAAACTCAGCTGTCAGTGAGTGATTGATCATGAATACAATCAAATCCAGTGAGTTTCAGAACTGCAGTGAGTCTCACCTCTGACTGAGATCCAGCTGTGCGGCGACTCTCCTCTATCTGTTTTACAGTAGTAGAAACCCTCATCAGACTTTGAGACAGTAGGGATGCTAATCTCTCCTGTCGTCTGATTCTGGATCAGTGATCCGTCTTTATAGAAATCAGCTGTGAGGATGGAGGAGTTTGTAGATCGATGTAAACAGTGTAGAGTCAGAGTTTCTCCCTCAATCACAGGATCAGCAGAACTCTCCAGAATCACAGCACCATCTACACAACACACAACACAACACAACACAACACAACACAACACAACACAACACACATCTGTTTAGTCTCAATATATGAATAAACTACTCATATCTGCAGTTTTATGAATTAAAAACCTCCTTGTGTCATGAATCTCGTTTGTTAATTGCCAATCTTTTCCCCTTCTTTGTCTTCCCGTACCAGCTGTCAGCGCTTGCAATCAGCGCGAGCTCTGATCAGCAGTCACCTGTTCCCGCTTTGTCATTATTGACACCCCTATATCTACCTCCCTTATTTCTCCTCCTGTTGTCGGATTATTGTTACTCTGTGCGTTTGTTCTCCGTGTAGTTTGTGCATCATTTGTCTTGTCTCGTCAAGTCTCCCCGTGATTCATCGTTTAATGTTGAGTGCCGCAGCTTGCTTGATCACCTGTAGACTGTGCTCTGACCGTCAGCACCCGGAGGTCAGTGTTTCCCGGATCGCTGTGGTGGGCACGGACCGATCGGCTCACTTCCTCTCTCTCACCCCCGGCCGTGGGTTTGCTATTTTGAGTTTGCTTTGAAGAACCGGATCTGTGTGATTCATTTGAATTACTGACAGACTGCCTTGTTGAACTGTTAATAAAGACTGGTTGAACTGCACAAACCTCTCCTTTGATTCTGTTATGTGACACCTTGAGCCTCATATAAAACAGTTATAAATTGATGTTGTAGTCAGATTTTTAACCAATGACAAAATAATAATCAGGTTCATCAAGTCCGTCTGTTATTGGCTTTACAGAAAACAGTGAGATGAAATTGTATGTAAAATTGAGATGTGAATGTGTGAAGATGCTGAGCTTAGTAACAGGACTCACCATGTACAGTGATGTTCAGAGGATGGCGTTTCTCTCCAGATTCAGACTCACACCAGTAAACTCCAGTGTCAGATGTGCTGAGAGACTGGATTCCACATGTAGATCCTGTTTGTGCTGAACAATCTTGTGTGTTTGTGTGTGTGTATCTTCTCACTGTCCATCCAGCAGAGTCACAGCTCAGAGAGAGAGAGTCAGAGGAGAAGTGTTGACTTCTGCTGGGCCTGAGCACCAGGCGCACTGAAGCAGAAACACCTGAGACAGAGAGCAAACGCAGACAAATATACTGCTGCTGTCACTGACATAAACCTACTGGCACATTCGAGATCAACAACAGTTCTGACAGCTGCTGAAAGCTGATTTCCCTCACCAGTGACCCACAGTGGCTGTGCGCTGCTGTTCTGTGAGGAATAGGCTGGTTCTCCTCTCTCTGCTCTGCACGTATAAACTCCTGTGTGCTGTAGAGCAGCAGGACTGAGAGTGTAAGAGCCTCCAGCTCCTCTGCTGCTGTCTGACAGATGATCAGCATCTCTGAACCAGCTGAACGTCCAGCCTGTAGAGGAGCCTGGAACCTCACAGATCAGAGTCACCGAGTGTCCTTCAGTGAGCCACGGCTGTGGAGACACTCGCACTGCTGCCTGAGCTTCATCTGAACCAAACATGAGGAGTTACAGAGCCATAGAGGAGCAGATACAGACTCTGATAATACTGAACACACACACACACACACACACACACACACACACACACACTCACCTGAAGACACAGTCAGAGCAACAGCATCACTGCGCTGAGAGATCTGAGTGTTCATCTGTCCTGTACAGCTGTATTTACCACGGTGAAAGACCTCAACACGGCTGATCTTCAACTCTTGTGCTGAGCACCGGCTCACAGCAGTTCTGTAGTGTTGTTGGTTGGTTCCACTGGTGCAGCAGTCTGGTCTGGTACAGGGGTTGATGGGTTTGTCTGCTGTCTGTTGTGTGTCTATTTGCCACCTGTATGTCCACTCAGTGTTTCCTCTCCACTTTATATCACATCTGAGAGTGACTGTTTCTCCTCTGAACACACGTTCATCAGGCCGCACCGTCACCACAGCTTTAGGACTCTCTGTACAAACACAGTTTACTGCATTAGTCTTGATTGAGAGTTGTAGAAGTGCTGTAGATATACAGATATACTGAATCACACACTGTGTTTTCTCTCACCTGTAACACTGAGTGTCAGTTCATCACTGTATTGTGTGTAATAGACTGGTTCTCCTCTTCCAGCTCTACACCAGTACTGGCCTCCATCAGACACTGAATCAATCTTCATGCTGTAGGAGTTTGTTCTTGTCATCTTTATCTCAGACTCTTGTGTGTTTTTGTACCAGTAAAAGTCCCATCCGGTGGACAGATCAGTGTTACAGGTCAAAGTCACTGTGTTTCCAGTCAGTGCAGCTCCTGCAGAATCTGATCTGAGATCAGGCTTTGGCTTTAAATCTGCAGGAGAACAAGAACAGATTCAGATTACCAAAAATGTGGATGTCAGACACAGCGATATTCCAAGATGGCAGTGCCCTATAGCTAAAAGATATAGTAAAGTAAAAAAAAAAAAATCAAGTTTTAATCATTTTTAATAAAGTGGAAATCAATGTACAAGGCAGGGCTTGAAATTAACTTTTTTACTTGGTAGCACCGGTGCTCCTAACTTAAAAAATTTAGGAGCACCAGAAAAAATGTAGGATCACCCATCAAAAAATGATTGAGCACCGCTGCAAATTGTATTTTAAGGGATTTATTGTTTTTTAAAACAACATCAATTAGGACTGACAAAAACCAGAAACAACTATAACTAATGCTGAGATGACATTGATATTTGTGCAATAATTCCAAAATGAATGTTGAATAATTATTAAATATTAATGATGATGAAAATGACAATAATTGTCAGGGTTCTGCCACTCTGGTCTTGTAAATTCTTGTTTTGGTGGCAGATCTCGGACACTACCCGTGTCTGGTCCTGTTTCTGTCTCTGTGTGCGCGCGCGCCGTCGTGGGTGTACGCAGAGTGTGCGCGCTCCTGCTTGACGCGGGACGCGTGCGCTCTTGTACTCGTGTTTGTGTTTTCGTCTGTCAGCAGCGTGGTGTTTCATTCCCAGCGTCTCAGTCTTGTTGGTTTCGGTTTTGGTCGGCGCTGGGATGAAGCATACACGCTGCGTGTGTGAGCGCACGGTGAGTTTTTTTCATTCATCGTGTGCTCGTGTTTTGCGTCTTTTGTCAAAGCACGTGGCTCGGTGTTTACATTGTGGTCACGTGCTTTTGTCGTGGGCTTCAGTGTTGTTATGTGAGCGCATGGCTTGTATTGTCTCTCTGTGTCATGCGCTCTCCCGTTTATTGTCTAGTCCCACCCTCCTTGTTAACTCATTATTAGTTTGTCATGTTCACCTGTGTGTCAATTTACTTTTTGCTTTATAATCCCCCTCATGTTTTCAGTCCTTTGCCAGTTCGTTGTCTACACTCCCCGTGTTCCTGCTCCAGTCTTGCCTTGTTCTTGTTGAGCCAAGTTTGTGTGTTTTGTTAATGTTTTCCCCCTAGGGGTAGTTTTGTTTTGCCTTTTATTTTTATTTTATTATTAATAAATACCCATTGTTTCTTTGCACTTGAGTCCTCGCTCCTTTTCCCCACCCCGACCGTGACAATAATAGTAACAATGAATTACATTTCTCATTACGATGCTGCCTTTAATGTGCATGAATGTTATCTGCTATAAAAAGTCTGTTACTTTATGAAAAATAATTGTATAGTTTGCATCAAACAAAAATGAAGCATTGCAGTAAGAAATATTTATTTTGTACTGCTGTTTTATATGCATGTCAATTTAATAAATAATATTTCTGCTACAAAACAAACAAAAGATTATAATAAATCATTCAATTCAAGGCTGAAAGCTGCAAAACAGTCATCAGTAACTAAATAAAAAAAATAAAAATATATATATATATACACCTCAAGAAAGAATAGAGAAAAGAAAGTAAGTAAAGTCTCACTTCTATCACTCAGTTTTGGTTTCAGTTTGTGTCAATTTAAATGTTCAGTCTGAGCTGATTTTCATTTTTCTGTGTTATGGAAAATCAGGCGAGTCAGCCGACCCAATTTATGAACAGGATTCTTGCGGTGACCACCGGCGCAATACCGCTGTTTGTTATGAGCCGAAGTTTCAGTGTAAACTTAGTAAAGGCGAGCTTCTTTGGCGACGATATACAGTATTAGATTTGACTTTTAGCGGACATTTGCGCTGAACACGCAGTGAATGCAACGCATGGAGATTCGGGCTCTTTCTCCGAAAAGAACGTACTCGATTGATCTCAGCTGGCGGATCAATATTCCCCGCGTCATGATCGCTCTCATCTGCGCCTCAACTTTAGGTGGGGTTTGCAAACCTGTTTGCTTTAAGTTTTCACTCCTCAGCCATTTGCATTTCCTGTGGTCATAAAAGCTCCTTCCATTGTCATCTGACAGCGCAATACCTCGAGTGAATGACAGCTAATATAAACCAATATAGCGGCAGGGAAGAGCGATTTAGCACGTTTTTTAGAAAAAAATAAAAACAGGTCGCACTACAACCATTATCTGCAGTCGCACTAATGCTCCCATATATGTTATGAGGTCGCATAGATTAATTTTTGGGCGCATATGCGACCAAAATGGTCGCAATTTCGAGCCCTGCAAAGTAATGTAAACTTGGCTGAGAGCTTCACTTCCCCTTTTATGTGCAGTTCTGGATCTGAACATTGACTAAATGTGAATCACTTCAGATTCACACGTGTGTGTGAATGCGAGATGGGTTGCATCCGCTGCGTAAAAAACTTGCTAGATAAGTTGGTGGTTCATTCCGCTGTGGCGACCCTGGATTAATAAAGGGACTAAGCCGACAAGAAAATGAATGAATGAACAATCTGTTCTAGATATCTGAAACAGAGCATTGAGTCACAAATACTGATGATTGTAGAGATGTGAATGTGAAGCGTCACCTGATACAGTCAGAGTAACAGCAGCACTGATGTCTGATCTCTGTGAGTCTGATCTCTCTCCTCTACAGCTGTATTGACCACTGACAGACACAGAATCAGCTCTGAATCTCAACTCTGCTGCTGATGTTGTTGTGTGTGGATTGTGAGTGTCTCCATCTTTAATCCAGCTGTATTTGATCCACTGAATGTTTCCTCCTGTCTGTATGTCACATGTGAGAGTGACTGTCTCTCCAGTGAACACTCGCTGATCTGGACTCACCTTCACTACAGGCTTTGGCCTCTCTGCATTAATACACACAAAATATTGATGAAAACAGAGAAACGTGCTGCAAAATATCTAGTCTAGCTGAATTTGCGATGATAAAAAATTCAGTTGTGTAAAAATAACGCGGCGACACGGTGGCGCAGTGGCTAGCATGTTCGTCTCACAGCAAGAAGTTTGCTGGTTTGATTCTCGACTGGGTCAGTTGGCATTTCTGTGTGGAGTTTGCATGTTCTCTTCGTGATCGCGTAGGTTTCCTCCGGGTGCTCTGGTTTCGTCCACATGTCCAAACACATGTGGTGCAGGTGAATTAGGTATCCTAAAATTGACCGTAGTGTATGAGGGTGTGTGTGTATGGATGTTTCCCAGTGTTGGGTTGCAGCTGGAAGGGCATCCGCTGGGTAAAAAACAGATGCTGAATAAGTTGGTGGTTCATTCTGCTGTAGCGACCCCGGATTAATAAAGGGACTAAGCCGAAAAAGAAAATGAATGAATGAATGAATGAATGAATGTGTAAAAATGAATTGAAAGATGAATATTTTAGACAGTAAAAATCATTTGTTTGGGTTGTGAAGCTGCTGTTCAGTGCATTATCCTTTAAAAGTCACATTTGTATTAAATAAACCAAATCAGTTGTAATTTAATATAATTTAACTGCAATATGTTGAAAATATTTAGTTATAGAGTGTGATAAAGCTTCTACATCTAATCCAGCATTTCTACAGTAAGTGTGTAAAATAAAACAGCATATGTTAAACTAATTATTGCACACTAATCCTGGAATTAAAATGCTTGAGTTGTATTGAAGTGCAGTGTTATGAAGTAAAGCCACAGTTTTACAATAATAATGATATTCAACTCACCCTTTACTGAGAGAGAAACAGCAGAGCTTGATTGTGATGAGTTTGGTCTTTCAGATCTCTGTCCTTTACACCAGTACTGACCCTGATCAGACGCAGCAGCTCCTCTGATAGTGAGAGTGTCTCTGTTTACAGTGTAACGACCATCAGACTGTAACTTTACACTGTTTCTGTTTTTATACCACACATATGTCCAGTCACTGTGATCAGACTCAATCACACACTTCAGCTTGACTGTCTCTCCAGTGAATACAGCACTGTCTGGTGTCACAGTCACTGTAGATCTGGGTAAAGCTGAGGAGAAAGACAGAAACATGAAGTGAGTCAAACAACTCAGTGAGTGAAGATAAATGTATTTAGTAAATTCTTCACAATAGTGTAGTTTGTGTGTTATTTTATTTCATATTATTTGCTCTGTTATTGTCATTAGTTTAGTCATGTCAGTGTTTTCTGGTCGTCAAACACCTCTGACTCTCCACAGAAAGCAGAATGAAGGAGAGCTGAAGACCTCCAACTACAAGCTGATATGAGGAGCAGCTGAATCTGAATGAGCTTCAACAGACTGAAGACTTCAGCAACTCATTCAACAGCAGCATCTGTAAGTCACGCCATTCTCTTCATCATCTAAACCCCTCTTTAATGAACTTGTCTATTCTCATGATAGTCATAAATTTAATCTGCAACTAAGCAAATATTATATATTTATTATATAATATTATATATTTATTTAATTATAGTTCTAATAGCATCTATCCCTATTAATATGTGGTTAAAAATGGTGTATTATCTCAGCGGTAGATGCTGTTTTCACTTAGTGTAAAACATTGTTACCTATAACTTAATATAGCTGCGCTCTATTTAATTTTATTTGTAGTTTTTAGTGGTTTAACAAACATTAAACAAATATTGATTTTATATGTAGTTTAAGTGTCAGGTTGCTAACACTGAGCTTCATGCACACAAACACACACACACACACACGCACTTTATTTTACTTTCTTCCTCTAAGCCACGATCATGGCAAAGTTGCACAAGCCTATGTGTACTGTGTCTCCTTCCATCACATCCAGAATTATTGAATCTGAGAGAACGAAAACTAAATCCAAAGCCTCTACCACAGGGGTGTCCAAACTCGGTTCTGGAGGGCCGGTGTCCTGCTGAGTTTAGCTTCAACTTGCTTCAACATACCTGCTGGAAGTTTCCAGTATATTTAGTAAGAGCTTGATTAGCTTCTTCAGGTGTGTTTGATTAGGGTTGGAGCTAAAATCTCCAGGACACCGGCCCTGAGGACACCCCTGCTCTAGCACATAACACTTGGGAAAAAAATTGTTCTATTACAAA